TTGTCACATTGTGACCCCTCAGTCCCTCTGTCACATCAAGCACAACTTGCATCCACTGGTTCCTCTCTGGGCCTCCTCTGGTCTGAATCAGAGTTGTCTTGCTGGGTATCTGGAAAAATCAGCTCTAGAGCCTTTTGGACATCATGGATTCAGCACAAAGAGAATTTGGGGTAATGTCATCTGCAGCACCTTTATAACTTCTGGAAAATCCACAGATCAAAGGCACTGTCCACTAGGGCGGCAGTAGTTCAGTTGGTAGAGCATTCGCCCACTGGTTGGTGGTTCGAATCCAGCTCTCGACATAAACATCATAGGTTAAGCGGTCAGACCCACTGACCCACAGGTTGGCTGATGTGATTCCAGCTCCCACAGATGAATGCTGTCATTGTGTCCTTGGGCAAGACACTTAACCCACCTTGCCCACAGTGTCTGTGTGCACTGGTGTGTGAATGTGTGAGTGGTTCCTTGTTGTAAAGCGTTTTGAGTGCCATGAAGGTGGAAAAGCAATGTAGAAAAATGTGACCATTTACCAAGGCCACCTGTCTTGTCTTGTTTACATCTGCTACTGATTGATCTGAGACAGAACTAAAACCCTAACCCTCACATTCTGTGGTGTGTAGATAACTCTGTGACTGTGATTTTAACTGAATTTCACTGTTGGGTCATTTTGACCCGAAGACGACCTTTGTACATTTTTTTGTACAGCATACATGATAATGTGAATAAAGGCAACAATTCACTTTTCCTAAAGTTTGGGTCAATCTAGGAAAAGTCATAAAATTTCAAGTTCAAAAATTATCGTTAAGATGATTTTTTGTTAGTTTTTTAACGTGGTAGCGGGTCATTTTGACCCGAGGACAACAGGAGGGTTAAAGTACTTTACTGAAAATGAGATAAGTAGTTATTAATGAGTTAGGTAATCAAAGTGATGTATAATGATTTGGAATCTTGTTAAAATAGACAGGGCTGATCTATTGAGTAGTTAAATAGTGGGAAACCTATGACTGTAGTAATCTGACCCCCCAGTATGTTTATTATAGTTCTGATGATGTAAAGTAAGAAGTAATGTTAGCTGAATATTGACAATGATCAATTATATATAAAGGAGATCAAAATCCTATGACTATAATAATCTGATATAACACAACATTACTAAATTCAAGGTCATTATTCTTACAAACTTTTGCCTAAATTGACATTATGATTAAGGATTATTGGAACATAGCAAACTAAAAACTGTAACAATGTAAAATACAATATAAAAAGTGACATGTATATACAATTTTAACATAACATTTACACAAAATACCAAGTCGTTATCCATCAAAACATTCCTTAAAAGGAAGTGAATATGTAGCAATATATAATAAAAGTAAATTACATGAGAAATAATGATCAGATAAGTAACCACAAAAGAAAAAAGTAAGGAGAGTCAAAATCCATTTTTTTGCATGTATGAGACAACTGCGGTGTCCTAAGTGAAAACAAACTTAGAAGAAAAGATCTCTCTCCCACTTGACTGACTTCTTTTCCTTATGTGCTCCATATACAGGATGATCACTCCTTTCACTGTTTTGAGATTCCCCTTTGCTTCAGATGTCTAATTCTGGGAACCTGGGGCCTGGGGGAATCTCAAAACAGTGAACTCTTGAACTCTGTCAACACTGTCCCATAAAAAAATACACACAAACATGTTCTGTACAGTTTCAAGATTCCCTCAAACTTCCATTTTCCTTCATTTGACTTGCACTGATAGAACTAAAATCCATCTTAGACCTGAACCAACCTCAGTGTCCAAAAATTTGTAGCACCTGTACAAAACTATAATATTTCAAAATATTTAAATTTTTGTGCATTTTGGCAAAATTTTGGAAAAAAATTTCAGGAGTCTTTAATGTCAAAACGGGTCAAATTTGACCCGACTAGTATGTAAGGGTTAAAACAACCAAAGCTTACCAAAGTGCTGAACAACATTTACAGTGAAATAAAATATACAATCAGCAAATCAAGCAGAATTATAAGCATAAAAACAATAATAACAACAGCAAGGTGTCGAGGTGTCTCTTCTTAACTCTGGGCAAATGCCAAGGAGAAAATATGCATTTGTAGTGCTCCAGTGACTTTGCAGTTCTAATGTGCAAAGGCAAAGTGTTTCACAGTTGTGGACCGACCACAGAGAAGGACCTGTCTCCTCTGGTCCTCAGTCTGGTTCTGGGGACAGCAGGAGGTGCAGGTCTGCAGAGCACAGACCTCAAATAAACTGGAAGGTACCATAAAAACTTCAACAATCAACAATTCAACAAACATAAAAAAAAATAAAATGGATTTGAAAATGTACAGGGAGCCAGTGCAAGGATTTAAGAATAGGAGTGATGTGGTCCCTAAACCTAAAATGCCTCTCTCTAATCTGAATGGTCACATCTAAACCAGCATCCATCCCATCTGGAGGTTCTGAGCTTCCACATGAGGCCTGTCCATGTAGAACAGAGGTGTCAAACTCGTGAGCCAAACTCAATATTTAAATGGAAAATTTCAACAACATCTGCATGTTTTCTCTTCTTTCGAGATATGTAATATTAAACCTTTTCTTATTAAAATAAATGTTTCATAATAGTTTTGCTTAAACGCTGAATCCAGAACAATCATCATATTAAAAAAAACAATAACACAATTTAAAATAAATAATGTCTCTATAGTCTATCTGTAGCTGGTGGGGCAACTGTAATACGTATTTGATATGATCTCACGGGCCAAATATAATTATATCATGGGCCAAATTTGGCCCCCAGGCCTGAGTTTAACATGTCTGATATAGAAAAACCAACCTACCCCCAGTTGGTGCTAGTTGAGATAGTCTTGGTCAGGACAACTACAGCTGGAGGAATGTTTCTTCTCTGCGTGTTTTGGGTTGACCTGGGAAAACAGAGTGACCAGAGGAAAAGAGCTACTTAACCACAGAGGAGATGATCATCAGCCTGGGATCATTCTGCAGGTCAGGAGGACTATAAGCACTTGAGAGCACCCACCAAACACACGAGCACCCACCAAACACACGAGGACTCACCAAACACACGAGCACTCACCAAACACACGAGGACTCACCAAACACACGAGGACTCACCAAACACACGAGCACTCACCAAACACACGAGCACCACCAAACACACGAGCACCCACCAAACACACGAGCACCCACCAAACACACGAGCACTCACCAAACACACGAGGACTCACCAAACACACGAGGACTCACCAAACACACGAGCACTCACCAAACACACGAGCACCCACCAAACACACGAGCACCCACCAAACACACGAGCACCCACCAAACACACGAGCACTCACCAAACACACGAGCACTCACCAAACACACGAGCACTCACCAAACACACGAGCACCCACCAAACACACGAGCACCCACCAAACACACGAGCACTCACCAAACACACGAGGAACCTAAACTCCACAGAGACCAGACTCACTGAGGAAGTTCTAACAGTTTGTGTCTGTGTCACTGAACTAAGTAGAATTTAATAAACTGCCTCCTGCACTTCAGGACACACAGTCACTCGGAGAAGACTTTCACTGTAAGGGTGAAGAGGAAGAGAGAGAAGACAAGAGGAGAGGAAAAAGGCTAGAAAGGAGAGAGGGAGGTGATAGAAGGTGTGTGAGAGACAATATAAGAAGAGAGAGAGGGAGGAGGGAGAGTGATAGAGAAATAGAGAGAGAGAGAAGAGGAGAGGAAAGAGAGATAGTAGGGTAGAGAGGAGAGAAAAAGGCTGGCGAGAAGAGAGAGAGACAGAAAAAAGAGGAAAGAGAGAAAGAAGGAGAGAGCAGGAGAAGGCAGAGAGATAGAGGAGTAGAGAGTGAAGGAGAGAGAGAATAGGAGAGAGAAGAGAGGGAGGGAGGGAGGGAGGGAGGGAGGGAGGGGAGAGAGAATGAAGAAGAGAGAGGGAAGAGAGAGATAGAGGAGTAGCATCAGGAGAGAAAAAGACTAGCGAGAAGTGAGAGAGATAGAAAAATTAGGAGAGAAAGGAGGGAGAGGGGGAGGGGAGAAAAGCTGTGAGAGAGAATATAAGAAGAGAGAGAGGGAGGAGTGAGAGTGATAGAGAGAGAGAAAAGAGGAGAGGAGAGAGAGAGAGTTGAGCGAGACAGAGGGGTAGAGAGGAGAGAAACGAGAGAAAGAGAATATAAGAAGAGAGGGAGATAAAGGGAGGAGGGAGAGAGATAAAGCAAGAGAGAGGAGGAGAGAAAAGGAGGGAGAGAGAGATAGAGAGGAAAAGGCTAGAAAGAAATGAGAGGAGAGAGACAGGAGAGAGAGAGAGGGAGTGAGAGAGAATAAAAGAAGAGAGAAAAAGGGAGAGAAAGGGAGGAGAGAAAAAGGGTAACAAAAAGTGAAAGAGAGAAAAAATAGGAGAGAGGGTGAGTGAAAGAATATAAGAAAAGAGGGAAAGCGAGAGAGAGAGAGAAGCGGAGAGAGGAGAGAAAAGAGGAGAGAGAGAGAGTAAAGAGAGGAAGAGGGGTAGAGCGAGGAGAGAAAAAGTGAGAAGTGAGAGAAAGAGAAAAATACAGAGAGAGAGGAGAGAGAGAATATAAAAAGAGAGACAGGGAGGAGGGAGAGAGATAGAGGGGTAGAGCAAGGAGAGAAATAAGCATAGCAAGAAGTGAGTGAGAGAGAAAATTAGGAGAGAGAGGAAGAACGAGGGAGGGGAGAGAGAATATAAGAAGAGAGAGAGGGGGAAAGAGAGAGGGAGGAGGGATAGAGAGATAGAGGGATAGTGAGAGAGAGAGAGCGAGAGAGGGAGGACAGAAGTGCAGTTGTACAAAAGCAGGTGCTCCACTCTCACTTTCTCTGTCACTTTCCTCTTGAGTGCAGTCTCTTCTCATCCCCTCTCCTGCTCCTGCCTCTGCTCCTGCCATTTCTGCTCCTGCCGCTCCTGCCTGCTCCTGCCCTGCTCCTGCCGTTCCTGCCCTGCTCCTGCCGCTCCTGCCGCACGATGAGAGCCTTGTACCTGAACCTCCTCCTGTGCCTGTGCCTCCTGCTGCCCGCCGCGGTGAGTCCTCCGAGACACTGCGCTTTTGTTTGCCATTAATAATCAGCAGGAACGTAACTTTGAAGTTTAGTCAATCAAAAACAGCTCAATTTTCTTTTATTTTTTTAAAATTTAAAGCTCCACTATGTAACTTTTGCACCGCCTGATCGTCTCCATGGATCTATAACTTACATTTATTCACTTAGAGGTAATATTTTGTATTTTAGTGCTCGAAAAAACCTCGAAAAACTTGATATGAGCGGTCGTCTCTCCACAGATCTGGCTCTGTAACTTTGTGTCTCCGTGGAGTTTAATGCCACGCTCTGGAACATTCAAGACAAACAGACAACGTCAATCCAAAAATGTTGCATAGTTACTAAAAATAATAACATCAACAACGATGATTTTACTGTAATTTTTATAGGTATATTCAAAAAATGTGCTAAAAGTGCATTGCTTGTTGCTATGGATATGCTGGAATGTTCCACAGTGTGACTTTAAACAGCTCTGCCTTACCTTTAGTCATCTACAAGTGGTTTTATAGCTCAAAAATACCTAGAAAACATTCAAGATTCAACTCTGGGTGTGCAAAAAAATTGAAATATCGATGTATTGAATTGTTTAATTTGATGATACAGTATTGATATCGTGGGCTGCTGTATTGATATAGCATCAAGAGGTATATTTTACTAAATTATTTTGTGTAAAAGCTACAATTGTGTTGACATTTTTGTTGTTTTGATGAGTAAAATGGGTGTTTTTCATATTAACTTCGCACAAACTTAGTCGACTTTTAGTATCACAGCCATGATTTAGCCTTTTTTTTCACTGAACCGTATCGAATCAATTTGAAATATATTGCATTGATTTGAAATATATCGTATTGAATTGAAATATATCGTATTGAGTTGTATTGAAAGTGCACTGTATCTAAAAACGTATCATATCGTGGCCTATGTATCTAGGTATGTATCAGGGATGTAACAGTAACCAAAATATCGTGATATCGTATCGTCAAAAGTCTCACAATAATATCGTGGACTGTCACAAAATATCGAATCACAAGTTCCTTTGGTTAAATGCAGGTTTTATAGAAGCAACAGCTTATGAACATTGGGAACTACATTTCCCATGATTCATTTCAGCGTAGACAATATGAAGAAATATGTTTTTTTATTTGAATTCTTGGGATTATGACGGAAATAATTCACATCAAAAAAAGTGTTCAGTTTCTTCAAAACATCGCAATAAATATTCTACAGTGAGATGTATATCGTGATAATATCGTACTGATTGATTTGGATATCGTTACATCCCTAATATGGGATATATTGAATTGTGACAATATATCTTGATATTTAAAGAAAAAACAAAAGTGGCTGTTTGCTGCAGGTGTTCCAGTCAGTGGGAGCAGGTAAAAAGTGCTCTTGGAAAAGGATCATAACTAAAACACAACGGACTCCAGGCACTCCAAAGAATTAAAAATTGCACAAGGAAAAATATAGTTAAAAGGACTTTATTTAAACGGCCAAAGCCAACATGTTTCGACCAACCTCGTCTTCATCAGGGATTAGTTAAAAGAGGTGAAGACCCGGAGTCTTTTTAGTTTTTGTGTTTTTGTGTTTTAGTTATATCATGATATGTATTGTAACGTCAAACTCAAGGCAATCCACACCCCTAGTATCGACATATCACCAAGAGTATTTTTTGGTATATTTTACTAAATTATTTTGTTACAGAGCTACAGTTTTGTTTGTTCAGTGGAAGAAAACTCATTTACATATTCACTGTTTTGATGATTAAAATGGGTGTGTTTCTTACTCAATTTGCACAAGAAGTTGTTTAATTTTTAGACTTTTATTATCACAGCCATGACTTAGCATTTATTTTTATTGAATAGTATCAGATCGATTTGAAATATATCGTATCGAAAGCGGCCTGTATCGAGATATGTATTATATCATGGCATCGTGATAATACCGTACCGTGAGATTTGGATATCGTTACATCCCTAATATGTATCGTATCGGCAGAGTCTTAATGATACTCAGCCCTTATTCTGCCTGTGAGCTGACCTGTAACTTGGTCTGGTTTGGTCTCCGTGAAGATAGAAAGGTTTAATGCCATACTGTGAAACATACTAGACAAAAAAAAAACTGCAGAATTTAATCCTTCCACCAGAAAAGTTACACAATACTCCTTTAGCTGAGGGCAGGTGGACTTCAGTTGTTGTGAATATGAGATTTCTTCACAGATAATGCGTAAGTTGCTCAGTTGGTAGAGCGTTTGTCCACTGACCCACAGGTTGGCAGTGCAATTCCAGCTCCCACAGATAAATATGTGAATATATGATGTTGTCGTGGCCTTGGGCAAGACACTTAACCCACCTCACCTTTCCTGAATGATCTTGAGCTGTATCAGACCAAGTATAAACACACACACTGCAAATTTCTCTGATCTGGCCAAGATTTTAAAACTTATATCAGATTATTTATCTTGTTTTCAGATTTATTACCTACTTACACGTTCTGAACTGGTTGTCTTAAAATTTGTCACATATATTTCTTCCATGACTCAGTTTAAGCAATAAATGTTTAAAAGAAGAAGCTAGAATCCATTAATAACCTTTTTCCCCTGCAACACTTCACTTGTTTTTAAATTCAGTGATACAGATTTGAGTATATTTATCTCAAACTTAGCATCCATAAACTTATTTCCAGCCCATGAACACCTACAAAAGGCTGCTTATTTCTAGTAGAGTAGGAGTTTGCAAAAATATCAAAATATTGATATATCGTATTGTTTAATGTGATGATACAGTCTCTATATCATGGGCTGCTGTATCGATATATCACCAAGAGTATTTTTGGGTATATTGTACTAAATTATTTTGTTACAGAGCTACAGTTTTGCTGCTTTTTCAGAGGAAGGAAACTCGTTTATTTAACATTTTCACTGTTTTGATGATTAAAATGTTTGTGTTTCATATAAACTTTGTGGTTTAACAAAGACTTTTAGTATCACAGCCATGATTTAGACTTAATTTTTATTGAACTGTATCGAATCGATTTGACATATATCGTATCGGATCGAAAGTTCACTGTATCAAGGTTTGTATTGTAATGGCAACTTCTTACTCAGCCCTTGTCTAGAGGTAATTTATTTTAAGATAACTTCTTACGTAAAATGATCTTGCTGCATGGACAGATAATTTCACTACTTTTAAGTCATTTTCTGATAGATTTAAATGTTAATATGTTAAATTTGGGCCAAACTTTTTTGTAGTGCATGGAACCTACCTGGACCACAGAGGGATTACCATATTTTTGGCACTATAGGACGCTCTGGATTATAAAACGCACTGCCATAGAATGGTCTATTTTCGAACTTTTTTCACAAATAAACCGCACCAGACTTTAAATGAAACACAACAGTTGGATGGGTCAGTGGGACTTTGTTTGGTGCGTTCATGGTGACTCTGGGTTTTGTTCAGTTGTGGCGTGTAGGGAGGGTGCTGTCTGGGACCGCTGGATTGTCGGCATGTTCGCAGTGACTCAGTTGTTCAGTTGTGTCTAGAAGTGGCGCATTGCACTCGCTTTTTCGGTTCATTCCTCCGTTCCGTTCCTCGTTGGCATGGAGTGATGAGTGTGGCTGTGGGTGTTTTTCGCCGCGTGGTCGCTGTCTGCTCTGTGCGTGTTTGCGTTTACTGAAGTTGTGTTGGGACACCTGAATAGATTCGTGTATAGGGCGCTCTGGATTGTGGGGCACGCGGTTGTTTTTTTAATGGGGTTGGAGGTTTTTGAGCGTGCCCTATAGCCACAGATATAAGACACATGAAAGTAGAAAAGAAAGTATGATGATTTAATGTTGAAAATCACAGTCTATTGTCTAAATAAATGGTGTGTTTTTTTTTATCATTGTTGTTTCAGAATTGGTATTGAGTAGGGGTGTAACGGTACGCAAAAATCACGGTTCGGTACCTCAGTTTTGAGGTTACGGTTCTGTTCATTTTCGGTACAGTTGGGAACAAAATGCAAAACCATTTGTGTTTTTATTAAACCAACAATTAGTTTTAACATTATACAAACAGGAAAATAAAATAAATGCAAAATGCTGCTTGGTAAAACTAATAAGTTCAATCAAATATTCTCAAGTAAGCAACAAATGTATGAAATACTATAAAAAATAAATTCCTTGCTAAACAGTAAACAAAACTTTTCAAAAAGAAAAGCGCAGCACTAACAGTTCCAGTGTTAAGTTTTACTCAATCTTCATATTTTTGGCCAGAAAAAACAACTTGTCCACATTGTTTGCAGTAAGAAGAGATCTACTGGCGGGGGGGAGATTCTGTGCCCGCAAAAGGCGAAACTGAGGACTGCGGTGTGAAGACCGTAGTTTTGTGAGGATTCACGTGGTTCAGAAGGACGTAGTCAACACACACAAATTGCGCGAATTCACTTGTGCGCAGCCAAGCACCGAACCGAACCCCCGTACTGAAACGATTTGACACGAATACATGAACCGTTACATGTCTAGTACTGAGTATCGAGTGTGTTCTTTAGTATCAAAATCAGGTTTGAATTTTTTTTTGTATTGTGACAACACTTTTAATGCATACGTTGGTACACAAATTGTAAAACATACTATTTGTGAATGATAAACCAACTTTATTAGAAAGACTTTTTGACTTATGTTATTAAAACTGAAATAGAAAATGTAAGAAATTCAGAAGGATGTACTATTTATTTATTTTTTAATCCAATTCTGTTCCCAAAATGACTTGTTTGCCTGTAAGGCTGATGAAAATTGGTGACTGCATTCAGTTGTCTCCATATCTGCACAAGTCCAATTTGAAACAATTTATAACAAAGCTCAAATGTAACTTTCCCTTTGTTATAATTGAGGAAACAAAACATGATTATGTGATTGTTGCCATTATTTATTTTGATACTAAGGAATAGACTTATACTGATTCTGATACCAGGATGATTATAAAACAAAAAAACTCTTTTTATTTAGAC